CACACATGGCTTCTTTCTTTTGGGATCTTCTTGGGTGGGACACTGCTGTCTGCTTACCATCCACTGCTAATAGGGACTTAAGATCAGATCTTTTTCTCCAACGATCCATTTTTTTGGGGCTCCTCCTGTACATTTAGCATCATGTGGGGTATCTGCCATGCTATTTTTAATTTTTTTTAGTTGCTCTTTTGTTTCATTCTGAGATATTGTCATCTTTATTCTTTTACATGTCCTGCAACTTCACATCCTTTATCTATCCTTCCTGTGGGTCCATTTGTCTTGTATGCTTGATGCTGTTTGGGGTTCTGGATCAATTGTTCCCACCTCAGTCACTTCATGGGTCTTCTCCATTTTATTACGTAGTCTTTGATCACAGTTGGATAGGCAATTTCTGCAAGATGGGGAATGCACATGGTACACATTGTTATTTTCCATTCTCAGGTCCCTATTTTAGGTTGTTTTACCACGTACTTTGGTTCCAGTTTCATGCCTTGCCCTTTGGACTTATTTCAATTCCCTATGTCTTTTGTGGTGGAATGGTCTGCATTTTCCCAGACTTCCACATTTTGGGGAATTTTATCAACATCATTCATTGAATGTCTAGCTTCGGATAGCTCCTACCTATAGGGTTAGTTTTAACATACTCGTATACCCCTTCCACTATCAGCTCGGGTAGTTGTATTTTTCAGTTGGATATCTTTTTCGTGTTCCATACCTCACTCTAGTCTCTTTGGGATAGATATTTTTAAACACTCCTCCATCTGAACCATCCATTCTCTCCCTCAAATGCATTTGAGGGAGTGTTCTGTTACCTGAACCATTTATTTGATTTTAATCTTAATTTTCATCCTTCCCTCTTCATTTATATGCATTGATAGTTGATCATATCCCCTATGATGTCAGGATTACCACTTTCTCCTTCTCTTCTGGATTATTTTCCTTCACTGACACTCATCTCCAGAGGTGGGGATGTGGTTTGATCAGTAGGAGGCTTCAGGATAATGGTCTACAGGAAAAATGTCTTATCACCTTCATACCATGGCACTTCCACCACTCCAATGTGCTTTCATTAACTCTCTTCTTCTTGTCCAAATTTGACTAATCTTGTTTCATTTCGATTCTTCAATGGTGGTGGCTTCTATCATTTGCCAAGGGGGCTCTCATTCTTGTTCCCTTTGTGATAGACAGTGGATCTCCCTTTTTGAGCCCACACAATTGACATACGTCGCCTGGAGGGTTGTGTTCCAGGTGCTTTTGTACTCGTTGCTGATTGACTTTCCAGTCCCATCACACTTTCTCCCAAGGTGTGACCTTTCGATCCTCCAAAATTGTTGGTGGCTCTGCTTCCTATTTGTTCTGGAATGATTTTATTAAACTTCATTTTCGTGGCTCATGTGGTATATTCCTGTTGACTTTTTAATTTCTTACCATCTTCCACATTTCTTCTCGGTTGTATCCAGATGACCCTCTCTGTCCAGTACATGTTGTAGGCTGCTTCATTATTTTTTGGCTTCTTTCCATGGAATCCATTCCCATGGTTTCCTTCTCTTACTCCACTTCTTTGTATATGATTTTATTTTTCTTCCTCCCTGATCTATAGGATTTGGTTTGTGATTCGATTGGCCTTGTATCTTTCTTCCTGTTATCAATTCCTGGTGTCCTCCGATCATGCACCTTCTCCTTTCCTTGCATATTAACCCTGTTGTCCATTGGAGGTACTTCTTCTGTTGAGAACTGGGACTACACCTCATACATTCATCTCCCATTCTCTGCTTTGGGTAGCTGTTTCTTCCTTGTTAGGGTACTGTCATCCACCTGTTGCCATACTTTACCTCTTCATGAGACTGTGACTGGGTAATTTACCTTTAAGTATATATACCTCTTATTTTTCAGGGCATGTCCCTCTTTTTCTTTCTGGATCCTGCTCTGTGTAGTGCCTGTCCAAGTATACTTAAACTGGTAAAAGCTTCACTGTAAGGTCATGATGACTAACAATTATACTTCCATGGCCACTAAATGCACACTGCTGAGATGAGGTATCCCACAATATCACTTGCAGGTTTATTGTGATATACTTGTTTCATTAATATGCCAGTCCTGGACCATACTCACCCATGGACTACATGGGTAATGCAGAAGGGGATAGCTGCCCATTCCTGCCATGCCTTGTATTGAATAAATCGGTATGGTCTGCTTTTGAAATTAGGGTCACTCATTTCACTGTCTCAGGCATTGTCATTCCTCTGGACTCTCCACCATGCTTTCTCCCCCCTTTTCTTCTAGTGGAGTTTGAGAATCATTACCACTTTCCAGTTGCAACCTGCTGAGGTGGTGGACCGCAGAGGCATCCTCCTGAAAGTGTTAATGAAATACAAATTATATATATATGTATATATGTATCTACTAAATATAAATAAATGATGATAAAACCTTTCAGTTAAGAGTAGGGCAGTGGTGTTCTGCAGGTGTCGATGACGAGATTTTCTCCATTATGTAACACTGTAGTGAACTATCAAAATTGCAATTCACCCCTACATTGATGTTGGTTCCCAGTGGCTGGGTTTTGGATTTAGAGTTGAACCAATCAACATAAGTCCTCACATATGTATCACAGATGTCTCTATTCCCCCACTTATTTCTACTCTTGCTACTCCATCCGTGTTGTGGGTCACGATGGTGGTACTTGCAGATTACTACAGTTCTTTCCCTTCTGCTATCCCTCGAAGTTCTTATTAATCTGAGGGTGTTACTGTGCTTGGGTCAGTTTTAATTTTCAGTGAAATGGTTTATATACACAGACATATTTTTGATGCCGGATATAGGGTTCCTGGATCGATCAATCAATTTCTCACATTGTTAGCATGTGTCCTGTTCATTGGTCGTGGGGTACAAAATTCCCTTCAGTTTCATGAACTTGAAGTGAAGATGAATTGATCCTTTTTCCTACCCCCATATTGATGTTGGTTCCCAGTGGCCAGGTTTTGGATTGTAATTGACTTACCAATGGTATGATCCTCATCCTACCTCCATGTGGATGTTCCCAGCGGCCTGGGTTATGGATGTAGTTAACTTGTCATGTATTGTCCATTGTGCCCTGACCAATCTACACCTGGAGGTACATCATTTTACTCACACCCACATGTATGTAATATGGGATTGAGATTCATATATTGTGTGTTTTGGATCCTTATCCAACCATAGTTCTCTCCCTATTCTATGTGCTGCTCCTTATTTCTGCCCATATCTGCGACACCTTTTTGCACATTGGGCGAAGAGTATACCTGGTACAGAAGTGGTGCTGTCTCCCAGATATGATCTTCAACTTAAGATCTCTTCTTTGGGAGTGTTCTTCAGATGCTCTCTAAGGATGCTTCTTTCTTTCCCTTGCACCGGTCCCTCCGCCTGTTGAATGTGGGATTCTAGCTATTTTTGTGAGCAGAGGAAATGTACCGTATCAGAAGTTGTAATTTTCCTATACTGAAAATGTATTTCCAATAGGTACTTACCTCCTCTCACACTGAAAACTGGTACTTCCATTTTCTGCCAAAACCTTTGAAGTGATAGTTTGGTAAAATTGAATAGAGGGAATCACATGCATCAAGAGAGTATGTCACACTTTTATTGTGGAGGGTTGTTGCATGATGATTTGCTTGCAAAATGCAATGAAATCAGTCAATTTCAGATGAGTAGGAGCTTCAAGGTTTGTGGCATGAACAAAAATGTTTTGTATATAGAGGGCAGCACTGAATGAGAATAGCTATTTATGTGAATGTAGGTAAGTACCTATCAGAAATACATTTTCAATATAGGAAAATTATAACATCTTAGTCAAAGAGGGTGTTTATCCAGAAAGATGTGTATATACAAAAAAATGTGTACAAATATATTTCGTTTATAGTCATTCCATGCTTTTACCCTACATATAGTAGCAGATGGTCATAATTTTATTTGAATGAACAAGTTGGATCACACTTTAAGCTGTGATTGTATTAAAAGAGTGATAGTCAGTTTTTTATCGTGGGTGGTAGGGTGCTTCTGACTGGCTGCCTTCCCTCTGGTCAGTAGTTAAAAATTAGGAATTGGGCAGATAGCTTTAGCAGCTTTGCAATAAATACCAATACAAAACTTTGCATATTTATGGAGCCCCTAAAGGAACATTGGAAATACAAAAATAAGAGAAAACAATTTTCTTTTTAGAATATTAAATTGTGCACCATTTAGTAACTCATATCAGTGAGATGATCACATGTAAAATGGATGACTTTGCAGTTGTGGATGGATAACTGACAAGTTTTTTTGCTCTTAAAATTAAGTATAAAGATATTATTATAAGGTAACTGTGAGGCATTTAAAACATGTTTTAAAATCTTGGAGACATTTTGCTGAAAAGGTATACAAAAATACATGGGCAGGTAGAAGGTCCTGGACAACTACATGGCTTCAGATGGATGTACAGAGTTAGTAAGTTAGGTACTCATTACATACTCCTAGTTAGTCTAATTAATTACTAGGTTCATTTTTTAGATCTGATGTAGGTATGTAACTTGCTTTGATCTGAAGTTAATAATGAAATATAACCCATATTCCGGGCTTAGTACCTGAAATAGCAAAATAACCATTTTATTTTTGGTGATCCTCCCTGTACATTGATATTTATATTATAGAATGAAAATTTAATTGCATAGTTTTTTCTTAGTCACACATGCATAAGTACCATATGAAAATTCCAGGAAGGACATTAATTGACTTACTCATTGGTGCCTGTTTGTTAAGATTTCAGACACTGTTAATTGTCAGTGTTGGGGAAACACCAGTTGACAGAGCATGTTCAACAGATGCTGTCAATCATGATATGTTTTTTCCTCAAGTAATTTTATCTTGATTTCTTTGTTGTTTTTGTAGCTTTACGGTACAGTGAGGTAAGATACATTTCTATGAATCTTTATTATATTATTGTTATAGATTTTACATCAGAATAACGAGTATTATTTCTGTGACAGGTTGCCTGTGCCAAACAAATCTAGTAGCACTCCAGTAGTAACAAAAGCAGATGAACAGCCATTAGTTTCTTGGGAAACTGACAGGTGAGACTGAATGTATAAATGCTGTTAGTTTAAAGTTTTATGTCTTCAGCAATTTAATCTTGGTATTTTTAATATTTAATGATTGTGTATTAATGTAAAAACAATCTTCAGAATATTGTTTTATGATGTAATTTTCTACCATTTTCCTTGTACTCAAACAGCAAAATTTGGTGAATTGGACTAATTTCCTCAAAAAGCACACTTTATGATTATTGAGAGGAAGGTTGATTTCTACACATAAAGTTAGTGTATAACAATATCTTATAAGGTTTTAAATGTACTATATTGCAGATAGCTATTGATGCTAAGTTCTTTTAGATACACTAATAAGAGTTTGTTTATTAAATTTTGATAGCAACTCTGTAAAAAGGTTGTGATATGCAAACTTTGTCCACTTCTCCACATACACACATTATACACATCACATTCATATCATTCAAGGTATGCTGTTGCTCAAGTATCATATCATTTAAGTTTTGTTATATTGGTTTATCTTTCTTTTCAGTAAATGTGAAATAATTTTACATATAAGAACAAAGTACAAGCATAATACAATAATATTCTGTACATGTTACACTTGGAAGATGGTATTAATAAAGAGGAAGCATTTTTACTACATTGCTTGAACACTATGTGAAAAAAATTCACATTGTAATCCTGATTCTACAAAGTGTATCTTCATGAAATTTGATAAACTTTTAGAAACTATTACAAATATGTTGTACACAAAAAATCAGAATTTCTAAAGATTTGTTTGCAAATTTACTGGATCAGTCAGTCTCGTAGTCTGACTAGTCTGAGTGTAAGGTGATTTTCGTTTAAGAATAAAGATACATTTTTTCATTTTACAGTTTTTATAATTCATTTACATAACCTCTAGAACTTCCTAAAGTAATATTAAAAATTTTTGGTACAACTTTATACTTTAATTCTTATTTTCTGTACCCTAACACTACTGTAGCAAAATCATCTGTAACAAAAATTGAAAAATATAATCAAAAATACAATTGTAATTATTTATGTTATGAGCTTTAGCCCTCTTACCTTTTCACAACTGCTTTCATTTAATTTTATTGTTCTTTGAACCATGTCTAATTACTGGTGTGGCATGTGTATTTGACTTTCTTGTTCATATATCACCCAAAAAAATCTAAAATGGGCAACTGAATACAGGGAACTGAAGATGGAGAATTTATTTAGATATTATATTAAGAAATTGAAACTTAAATAATATTAAAATGTAAATTACAAACTACATTTTGATGCTAAGTTTATTAGCATACATTGATAATTAAATTTTGAACCTAATTCTGTTAAAAGTTTGTGATATGCACTTTATTTATAAAGCATTTATGCACAGCATTTATACCCTTCAGTACATGCTGTTGCTGAATTATTGTTAAATTAATTTCTCCTCCTGTTCAACAAATGTGAAATAATTTTACAGATAAGAACATAGTAAAAGCATAATGTAGTAGTGTTCTGTATGTGTTACACTTAGAAGATGGCATCAATAAAGAGGAAGCATTTTTCCTGTATTGGTTAATAAATACAAGTGTAAAAAAACTTGCGCTATACTGCAGATCTTTTTTTTAACTTTTAATTTGTCTATTATGAATTTTAAAATAGTGGTTATATAAAAATTATTTTTGAGAACTATCTTTTATCTCCCACAAATCACTGTCTAAGAAACCTTTAATTTAATGCCAGAACTCATCCTGTGTTGTTTTAGTGTACTTTTAAATTGAAATCTATAAGGAACAAATTAAGAGGAATGTGAAAAAAAGGATGTTTCTCCTACCTTTTGCCAAATCAGTAACTTATATGTTTTTGTGCAGCTCATAACCATGTATTATACTTGTGTAATTTATACAACAGTGAAATTAAAAATTATTTCATAGAGAAACGAAGAAACTTAAAAAAATAGAATTCCCAAATTAAATATGTTTGTAAATGAATTTGAAAAATTCTGAGTTCACTTCTTAAACTTAAAATTTCAAATAATTGTTTTAAATTGTGTTGCTGTTGATGTAGACAGTGTGTTTTGTTTTCAAGATGACTTAAAAGTAACATACATTAATAGTTGATCAGTATCACAAACATGTGAAAATGAAAAGTATGCTATTTCTTAATAAAATTACATTGTATTGTCTACATTGTTTTAGAGGTTGCTGTAAAGTTCATAAATTATTCAAGATATATATAATTTAAGATTTTTAGAATGATTCTTTTACTTTCTTAATACATCACATCCTTTTCCTCTTAAATTTAGCCTGTTTATAATATGTAAATAAATAATTTTATTACATGTGATGATGTTAAGGTGTCAGTAAGCTGATAGTTCAAATAATACTTTATATTTCTTGTATGAAAAAACAACAACAAAAAATGTAAAGAGTGTATACACGTATACTTACTGACCAGCATATTAGAAACTATCTCAGAATAGAACAGACTTCACTTTATGTTTACACAAAGTGGGTATTTACATGTTAGAGAAATAAAACCACCAAGGGTCTTTCAATACAGGTGGTATATTGTACGAGCATCAATGGATGGATACAATAGAAAGGATTTATCAAGCATTGAATGAGATTTTATTGTTGAAGATCAACTGGCAGGTGCCTCAGTTGCAAGCACAGTCCAGCTGCTGACAAATCTAAGGTCACTGTTTCTCAACTGTACACTATGTTGTTATTAAATAAACAAAATAAAACGTTTGTCTAATAATGGAAACTGTGCTAACAAATGGAAATGGGATGAAAATATTGTTCAGGCTAAAAACTGCATTAATTGATGGATAAACATTTATTTCCACCAGATAATTGTGTAGGAGACAGCAATCATAAGAAATGTCTCCAGTGGTGCTTAGATAATTGAGATCGAACTTATATGTAATGTAATTGTGTAATGTGCTCAGGTGATTCACACTTCATGTTGTAGTATAATTATGATAGGGTCAGAGTGGCAAGAACACTACTGTGTAAGGTTCTGGGAAGTGTTGAAATGTTGTATGGTTCAAGTACATGTTATGAATTAGACCTTCTGGTTCCTCTAAATGGCTGTATATCTGCTCGTGACTACTGACCACTCTGGCTGTGAGCAGGCACATTCCACAGTACTTTTGTACAAATACAGATGGTTACTTCAAAATGATAATATTACTAGCCATAAAGTTAAAGATTCTCACGATTGGTTCAGTGAGCCTGTAAAGACTTACAACATTTACTCTGGCATGCACGGTCTACAGATCTCAGTCCTACTGAGAATCTCTTGGACATTTTAGAACAAGTAGTCAAGAGACATACACCATTACAATCAACTCAACCTGAATTGAATACTATATTGGTTAAGAAAGATAAAAAATTGAAGCAGATACTTTCCAGACACTTCTGGAATCAATGTAAAATCAAACCATATGGTGGCCTAATACATTAATAGGTTGGGGTTTCAAGTATTTGTGTTTATGTTTATACATAAAGTCTGAATTACAAAAAAGGAAAAAGTTTCTTTGCAGATGTTAAAGGGTTTGTTTTTATATCATACCAGATTTTTTTTTATTAAAGACTATTCTGTGAACTACATTTTGCTAACCAATTTATAAATGTTGTAATCCTCTTTAGAGTAGGTTTATGTGTAATTTAGATGAACCAGATCTTAAACTGTGTATTAATGCTATCTGCAGCTGATATAATATTTTCATATTGTAATTAATAATTAGAATAATAAGCATGTTATTGTAAAACTGCTTTTTAAGTAGAATGTTTATTTAATTTTTCTTAGATTTTGATTATCACAGAAATGAAGCTTTGAAACAAGTTCAGGACAATGCTTGTAAAGAAGGTATTGCAGTAATATACTCAAATAGTGTTATTGAATGTGTAAAAATGTATAAAAAATAAAGATCCCTCATTTAGTACTGACATTTTTGTCACCTGAAAACTTGGACTGTAGACATCCAAAGACTTTGTGTATCACTTGATTTCTCTCATGCACTTCGTTACAGCTTGCAGTGGAGTTAGTGATAAAAAATGAATTACATTTGACGACATCTTACTTTAAGCGTAAAAAAATAAATACATATACATGTCACTGAACTATCAAGGCTGCATAATCTCTGTTTTAACCATGATAACTTTAAATAATAGTATGTCTAACTATGCAGCCTTTCTGAACAAAGAATACCTTAACCCTTTCATTGTAGGCAGGTTAAAAAGCATTTTGTCACAATCCTTTTAGAGTTATTTTCAAAATTTTGTTAAATAACTTTACTATTACTTGTGTCAATGGAATTGACATCAAAATGGAGTTTATAATTCAAATTTTAATATTATATATCATTGAACATGTACAGTGGTTAACGAATTAGAAACTCAAATTTTAGATATAGACAAGCTAGAACATAAAATAAGAACCTCCCACCTCTCTTATTTGCTGAAATATCATAATATATTTAGCCAATTTAGTAGAATGGCTCCTCCCTCTACTCTATTCTTTTAAAACCTTTTGTCTAGTCTCAACTACTTCTTTTGACTAAGTGTTTACTACCAAGATAAAGAGCAGTTTCCTGTGTACATAAATCTAACAGTTGTCTGTAAATAGCTTGAAAGAAAAATTTCATCGAAACTGTTGAAGTGCGATGACTAAGTTGTTGCTCTGAACAGATACAAGATTTTTTTCAGTCATATATACTTTGTTTAGAAACCCTGATAAATTACAGGCATTTTGTGTGCACAAATATAGTAAGTTGATAATTAATTTGTTTTCTGAAATGTATGTATGAAATTAAAATCTATTCACCCTCCACTTGGAAGAATAAACAAGGCTTATGGTGAGGCTTAGCACTTATGACACAAGCACGTAATTTCATAACACTGTAAGTCCTCAAAATCTTTGTTTTTTGAAGTATTTTTTATCTATTCTTCTGTTTTAATAAAAATAACTAAAATTTAACCATTTGTGAATAAAGAGTATTAATTGTGTGATGAATAATTTTGCTAAAAGGATTTGGTTTTGGTTTGTTTTGAATTTTGCACAAAGTTACACAAGGGCTATCTGCCCTGTCAGTCCCTAATTTAGCAGTGAAATACTATAAGGAAGGCAGGTAGTTATCACACCCACCGCCAACTCTTGGGTTACTTTTTTACCAATGAATAGTGGTATTGACCATCATATTACAATTCCCCCCCTGGCTGAAAGGGCGAGCATGTTTGTTGGGATGGGGATTTGAACTCGTGACCCTCAGATTGTGAGTCAAATAACCCTAACCACCTGGTCATGTCGGCCTGCTTAAAGGGAAATAGGATTTTATAATGATCTGCACAAATAATATCTTTGTATGCTTATACAGTATACCACTTAATTCCAAGCATCCCAGAAGGATGACCTGTACTCAAACACGTGTGCTATTTATTGGATCGACTCCAACCGTATAAGAAACGTTTCCCCAGATTCAAAGTGCAATCTTATTACTTTGGAGACTTCTTATTGTAAACACTGGAGGATACATAAGCTAATAAGTTCCATATCGTGTTCTTGGAGCAAAGGTTAAGTGGACTTATTTCTTTGTGTGTGCTTTGTTGTTCTCGATAGTATCATATTACAATGTCATGTAAACAGTCTGATGATACAGGCAAAGATCTGTTGCTTTAATTTCATTAAATTTCTATTTAAGTCATTGGGAGTAAAATAAACACAGAAAATAAATGTGAAATGTGTAGCAGTTCTAACTATCAGTAGAAGTACTTTGAAACTTTATGACCAATAATAAAGAAAAAAGGGCACAGCTGCTCATTTTATTTGTGATTTTACAACTTATATTTTTTATTATGCTTTGGTGATTTATCTACTGGCTGTAGAATCAAATCTGTTGTTAGGGTAGAGGTAATAACAGCAAATATAAAGATTTTTAAAACAAAGAAAAGTATTTATAATCTTAATTTAAAACTCACTTTCACTTGGGCTAGTAAAAACAAAAAGTTTGATATATTCATGGAGAAATCTTCAGTAAAAATACTTCATTAAAAATCTGATTTTTTGGGTATAAATGACATGTAATGTTTACTAAAAGTCTACCAAATTTTATGAAGATACACACACTGTATAAAAAATTATACTATGGAAACTATAACTAGTATAAAGTGGTTACAAGGTTGGTCACTTCGAAATACCCCATGTTGAGAGATTTAATAATTTGTCTGTCAAGTAACTATATGTTGAAAGTCTTTATGTTAATCCTATGTGCGTGGGTGTGGTTAAAGTGTGCATGTCCCAATATTTTACAGAGTTACATTCAAAATTTATTGAATAACTTTGTTATTAATGTATGTCAATACACTTGCTATCAAAACATAGTTTATAATTCAAATTTTAATTTTATATAAGTTTTAATCTCCTAACTTCAAAGGCAAGTACTTAAATACCTTTTCAATCTTCACTTCTCGGTATCACATGACACTTCTTTGCTCAGAATGCACATTTTAGACCTCCTTTCTGCCTCTGTATAGTCTACTGAGTTTGGTATAAGTTACATTCCTAAAATATAGGATTTATTATCACTTATAACAAACTTATAGCCTTTAATCTTCTTGATTTACTGAGATATAAATGAGAAAGTTAGAGTCATTGCTACACTTTCCTATCATATACTGTCTCTCAAAAAATGTGAATAATTCTCTCTGACATTTGCATTTGGATTATTTATAACCAATAGAAAGAGAAGGTATTAATTTAGATTTATGAGCTAGTTCATTTAAATAACAGTTTTTCAGTTATTGAGCCTACAGGTTCGTTGCTGCTATTACCAAGATAACCTTGATCACTTAAGGGCATTATTTTAATACGTGTATAGCTTAGAAACTCAGTTAAATTATAATAGTTTTGGGGTTTTTTTTTGCTTGCTAATATTTTGTGTTCTAAGTTGCATGTTTGAATTTTTAAATAATTTGTGTAACATAAATATCTATTATAAGAAAAGGTTAAATTTTGGTGAGACATCAAAGACTGAGTACAAGAGCTCATATGTAAGTGTTGAATTTCTTGTTCTGTGTGTATATTTTTTTATTTATTGTTATAAAAGTAACTAAAATGGAAAATTAGAAACTTATGTGGTTAGATAAAAAACTTAAAAAATAATAATAATTTCTCTGCAAAGTATGTATGCACATGAGCTGCTCTTACATTATGTCATTTGATACTTTGTTTACCATAAAATCAGATATGCTCCCATCAGGTAAGTTATTCCTTTGTTACACTAGTTTAATAGTTAGACATAGTTCAAAAAGCAATAAAATCAGTAAAATTAAATGAAAGCATCTGTGAAAATATTAGAGTCCTGAAGATGTTAGGATAAATAGTTGTAACTACTTGAAATTACTTTTGGTTTTATTTCATATTTTTTAATTTTTCTTAGAGATGAGTTCTCTACGATTAGTGTAGAGCAGTGTTTCCCAAACTATGTTCCGCGAAACACTGGTGTTTCGTCCGAGATTGATGGGTGCTCCGTGAGAAAATCATGATTTTAAATTTTAATAAAATAATTAACACTTTTTGTATGATCATAGCTTATTCTGAAATATTTTCCTGATAATATCGATTTTGCATTGAAGAAGATTTACAGAAGATGCCATATCTATTCTTCATAATATCTTAGTGGGGAGGTTTGTACCTAAAATATATTATAAGCATATAAATGTAAAAATTCATCAATATGTAATTTGATTAAATAAATAAATGAATAATATACAAATCCAGAGGGTGCTGCATGTGCAACATACTCTCTACACTGATATTTCACATTTTCTTTTTCTCAGCTAAAAAGTGTTCTGTAGCCAAAAAAGTTTAGGAAATGCTGATGTAGAGAAAATAAATAAAGTATAAGATTTTACACCCAAAAAAATTGATATTCATTATGAAACTGTAAGTATTGTTACCCTGTATGTGTATGGTTAAACAACCATTTATATTGATAGCATCAACTGTTTTATTTAATATGCTTTCTCTAAATGCTGATATTCTTTTCTGCAATGATCATATTTTATACAATGTTGAAGTGACTGAAACCCTTTTTGTGAACAACTTAATTTTCATGGTAATATTACTGTATAATATTTCAAGATCATTATTTATTTTGCTGTTCTAGCTTTTCACTTTTTTTCAGAAGTGTTTTGGAGGGGGGCTTCTTCACTTTTAATGTTGGGCACACCAATTTTCTTTGATCATCAAGTTTTCAGTTTATATTTAGTTTTAGGCATGTGTTTAATTTTTTATTAAATCATTTTAGTATAGTGTCTACATTTTTTATTAGTGTAATATACTTATGAAGTTGTGCTAAGACTGCATGTTTAATGTATTTATAGTGAAGAAGAATATGAATTTCATACAACCTCAAAGTCTGCCTCTAGGGAAATCACTCAGCAGCTCATTCAAGATGGATACAATCTTGACCTAACACCTGATGATGAAGACCTAGACTTGATTCCTCCAAAACCTTTAAACCAACGGTGTGTTTGTTGTGGGATGACTTATTCTTGTGTTGTTCAGTAAATCAAGCAAATGCCTGATGCTGTCTTCCAGAAAAGCATACCCTTATGAAGGTTGTTTACCAGCTTGTGCATTTAGTATTATGCGTGTTGAAAATTCTCAGTATTCTGAAATAAGTTTATTCCAGATATTAGTGTTAATATATCTAATGAATATTTAATTTTCATTTCTTTAAGTATCAAATGTTACTCTCAAGTAATTTTTTGTACAAATTATTTTACTAAGTGGTTATTTCAAGAAAGAAGCACAGTTTTTGTATGACTTATTTCCTTAAAGTTATTCAACTGATTTTCTTTACGTTGTATATTATGTATTTGAGTACACAAATATGTACATACTTAGTATGTGTATGTTAGAGAACATATTTGATCTAATGAAATACCATTCCAGAACTAAGATCTTTTTAACATTACATGGAAAGTAAGTTGTGTGTGTGATGTTTTTTGTTTACTACATGTGGAAATGATAAATTATAAGAAATCATGTCAAAGTATGTTATTGGTGCTTGATAATGATACTAAAGAGCACCTAATTGATGCCTTTTTACTAACATTACATAGTACTAAGATATGAAAAATATTTTACAAATAACATTGGAATATACTGAATAAAACAATAGATATATCTGCTATTTCCGATACAGTACGTTACTTCTTGTAACAGATATGGCTAGTCTCTTTAAGTCCTGCTCTCTACATGCAAAAAATTTTTTGCATGCCTTAAGCCTTGAGCTCCAATGTACCCCACGATTAGTGGGGTTCAACTGCATCTCACATGTAAATCATTATGCAACAACCCTCCACCACTAGGAGTGTGATACATCCTCTTGACACGTGACTCTCTATATTTGAATGTACTGAACTATCGTTTCTCATTTGGCAGTGCTTGCATCAAGATGTTTTTCATTGTGCTCTACAAACGTTTTTTTTTTAATTTAGTGAATTTTTTTTTTCAATGTTGATTGAACTGTTTTGTAATTTATTCTGAAGTGGAATTGTTATTCTCCTTTTTCAAATGTTTGCGAACATAAGAATAACTTACTTTTTTTTTAGTTTTTTATTTGTTCTAACATTGTTGTGCTTGGTTATTCATTTTTAATAATGAAGTCCAAGTTACCACTATGGAGGTAATACTATCCACCAGCATGCTTACACAGACTGCAGGTGGAGGGAACTTGACTATGGAATTATCAGCTCTCATTCAAAGAGAGATTGATTGTTATATAAGTCAACCATCTCATGATGTTGCCCATTTTCCTCCTGAACATGCTGAATCTGTTCGGAAGGATGAGAAATTTGACAGAGTTTTCCTCCACCTAATTTTGCTGTGTCTTCCTGTGCCCCTACTGCAGAAACAGCTAGGCCTAATATGGATTTTTTTGGACATGACTTCTCAGGTGGGTTCTGTTTCATCACTTTCCTTGATTTTTTATAATCTTCTACCTTCCTTGTTGCATGATATCGATCCTTTTAGTATTTTGTGTTTCCTCCTTCCCCAGATATTAGGGTTCATGCAGAGCATTTTGTATCTGAGATGCATGAGGATGCTCGTATGCCTTGCCCTGCACGGGCTTTGAATCAGTTTGCTTGAGCCTATCATCAGGCTGCATTTCCATCTTTTGATTCTCAATAGCTGGTATCACATTTGCTCATGTGGGAAGCTAACCCTGATCATCCTGTTTGTTTATCCCATACCCAGTTTTCTTGCCTTTGTCTTATCCTATTGACTCTTCTATGGTACTTCTCTTCCATCAACCTCCTTTTCGAGGTGCTGTACTGAGATCCTGAGGGTTTAGTGAAGGATACTTTCTCCCTCAGTACCTCCACATTGGCACGTTTGTCTTCTTTGGCCCTTTCTTTTCACATGTGGCTTCTCTGTTGTTGGGATCGTCTGGAGAGAGATGCTGTATTGTTCCAAGTTCATTTACCATCTACTTATCTTTGGGACTTATATATGGTCCCCTTTCTCCAATGGTTTGTTTTCAGGGATATTCCTGAGACTAGAATCCAATGTGGAATCTGTGAGACAGAAATCGACCCTTTCATTTTTGGTTGATTGTTTGTCTCATTCTGAGCCTAGACAATCCCCTATTACTGTTTTCTATCCCATTCCTTCCCAGCCGTTACCAGTTCCTCCACTTGACGTATTATTCGACGAAGATGGACACATCACCAACAGTACCAGTGACTATCCCGTGGGTTTTGGTCCAATTGGGGTTTGCTTGTTCATCTATGGTGCAATTTCACCACAGATCTTTGGGTTATTTAAGTATTAACCGAGGGACTTGTCATCCACTTCCTTTTCCCTCCTCCTATATCTCGGGTACCCATATCCTTTCCGTTGCCTTGGGATCCTACCACTGGTCAATGTCTGTCCGAGGCAGTAGAGAATCTTCTCTCCCAGAAAGCCATTGAACCTGTACTTCATTTTTATCCAGGTTTTTATTCCAAGCTGCTTGTGGTACTGAAGAAAACTGGGGGACTGGTGGTCTGTGATTGATCTGTCCTGCCTCAATCAAGTTTTGGTTTTGCCTCACTTTACCATAGAGTCTTTTCTCACCCTCATGTGGGCTTTTTGTCCAGGTCTATAGATAACCAAGATATGTGTCTCGAATGTTTATTTGCATATTCCTATATATTGTCAGTTGAGGTGCTATATGTGCTTGCTTCAGTCCTGTATGTCTTTTGTTGAGTTGTCAAGGCATTTACCCAACATATGCATGCTCGGGGGTTGCACATACACCATCACATGGAAGAATGGCTTCTGTTAACTCATTCCAAATTGGAGGTTGCCAATCTCACTCATCTGCTTCTTTTGGAGGCAGCTTGTGTGGGTTGGTTAATCAAGTTAATCAATATTTTGTCCACTTGGACGTCTTTTTTAACACTCATCTAAGTCAGGTCCAACCTTCTCCACTTCGACTCCATTCAATGTAGCTTTCAGTTCTTCACGCTCTTCCTACACTCTGTCCTCACGCCTGGTTTTTTCCCGTACTTGGTGAGGAGATCCAGATTATCACAGTGAGTTGGTTCATTTTTAGCATGTTCCATTCATCCCTCCTCTATGGACGTTTATCAACATAAATGGAACCTTTTTTAAACTATTGGCATTTCAGTCAGGGATTTTCGCCTGCTTGACCCACTCACTTTTCCTCACTTGGCTGTTTGAACAGGGGACTTTTGTCTCCTCGGTCACGGGTTACTGGGCTGCCTTATTCCACACTTTTCATTTTTCTCTGTACTGTAAATTTTTATGTCTCCTACCCTCTCACTATCGTTGCATTCCTTCTGGATTAGTAGACCTCTTGCGCACTGTCCAGATTGGGATGTCAAAACGGTTCTTCACTGCATTATTTTACTTCCATTTGAACCTCTGCCCTTGTGTTTGATTTTTCACTTATCCCTTAAAACATATTTCCTTCTTCTCTTGGCTTGTGGATGTCATTGGTTGGATTTATTTACCATCAATGTTGCATGTACCCTGTATCATTCTACATATGTTCTCCTTTATCTGGATCAATCTTTTCTTCCCAAAATTTTGGCAGCTTGTTAAGGAAATTCCTTCCATTTCTCACCTATATTCCCAAACTGATCTGGATAGACTGCTATGCCCCATACATACTCTTTGTTGTTATATTGCCTGCACGGCTCCCGTCCATGGTACCCATTCCCACCTCTTTATCCCGTGGCAACTATCCTCTGTTCGTGACCTTTCTCTTTCCACCTTTACCAATTGGGTTTGGCTTTTAATTCAATTAGCTTATTCTTCCTTGTCTCCTTCTTCCTGTAATTTGTTTCAGGTGTCTTCTCACCAGATTAGGCACCTTACTTTTTCCCTGGCATCTCATCTCTGTTGTTCACCTATTCAATGTGGGATTCTAGCTATATCTGTGAAAAAAGGTAATGCACCATATCAGAAGTTATAATTTTCCTATACTGAAAATGTATTTCTGATAGGTACTTACCTCCTCTCACCCTTCCTTCTTACTGAAAACTGGTGCTTCTATTTTGTGCCAAAACTTGAAATAATAGTTCGGTAGAATTGAATAGAGGAAGTCATATGCGTCAGGAGGGTGTTGCACTTCTATTGGTGGAAGGTTGACACATGATTATTGACATGTGAGACTCAATTGAACCATGTTGATCGTAGGATATGTGGGATGGGAGCTCAAGACTTGTGGCATGTGAAACAATTTTTGCATATAGAGGGCACCACTTAACAAGAATAGCTATATCTGTGAAAGGAGGTAAGTACCTATTGAAATACTTTTTTCAGTGTAGGAAAATTATAACTTCCTAAAAAAATAATTGAGTGTGTAGTATTTATTTGCATTGTATAAAAGTTTGGACATACTGATAGAAGTACATGTTTTTATTATAGTATGTCCACAATTAAAAGGACTCCTAACATTTCTATGAAGAAAAAATAAATGAGGTATATTTCATTGAGATTTCTTGAGAATTTGGGCATATTCGAATCAATAAAATCATCAGAGCTGAATTTGACCTTCAATGATTATTGACGTTGGTAAATAACAAACAAGAATTTTGGAGGAATTTGTGCTGACTGTGGTGGGTGGTTATGAGATTACAAATTTTGTTCGTTATTTACTAGAAGGTATACAAAAAATGTTTGTGTATCATAAATATATTAATATGAATTGAGTTTCTCATATTAAACTTTAGAGATTTAGAGTATTTCTCTATATGATTTTGAAAGAAATGCTTATAATACTTTCCAAAACTATATAAGATATAATTTAATGGTTTTTTAGAGAGCATCTAAAAACAATGATACTAAAACGTTATTAAAACTAGAAAACTAATATTCTTGAAATTGGAGAGATTGTGCAAATCACTGGCTTTAACAATGATTTCTTCCTCAAGATTAAGCCTGTTTTAATTGCACAAGTTCTTTTCTCCCTTGTTTTTTTTGTTTATTGTGATATGACAAACAGCATTACTTTCATATTTGTAATGCTGAAATACCGTGCAATTTATATAATAATAATTTCTATATGTTATAGTATTTAACTATTATGCTTTAATTATAATATTGTTACAAAAAATTGTTTTCAAACTTACCAGACAGTGTAATGTTTGTTATATTTGTACTGCATTTAACAAAGTGTGCGAGATAGTCATTTTATATACAATTTTATATTTAAAATGGTACAACTTAAGATTCAGAAGTTAAATTTCTGTGAGTGTAAGTTCGCTGAAAGGCATGTCAGAAATCAACTTCATGTGAATTAAACATTCATACTTTGATAAAGGATTATAGAGACTTATTAATGTGCATCTGGTACAGATGTTGTGTACTGGGACAATACCAGCAATTGAAACTGTTGTAATTTATTTATGAAACTCATCTGCTGGAAATTCTATTTAATGTGAATATTTTGAATATAATGATGTTTCTGTATTGTCTACACTGCAGTAGTGATTGACTAAAAGCACTCATTTGAATTAATGTTATTTTATGGGAAGTAGTGCTTTAGATTGTATCATTATGAATCACATTCTAGTCATTAAATGTGTAGAATGCACCAAATATATCAAAACTTAGATCACAGATTGCCAAATGTTATCTCTATACTGTACCTTGTTTTATTTTTGATAGCCTTTTGCATCCAGGTCTAGTCACGAGGCAGTCTTTCATTTATAGTCTGATTTATCTTATTTTTAGTTTATAATTATATTATATTATTGAGACTGTTCCAGTTTTTCAGTAAAACTTTATCTAGTAGACTATTATTTTAACAGTAATTTAAAACATACAGATTTAGAGAAAATGCATGTTTTTACATTCACGTTTTTAAGTTTATTCCAAAAAACTACACATTGGTTTCTTCTTTTATCTTTGTCTATATTTTGTTTTTTTAGAACTTATAATGTATTGCATGAAAGTACCATTAAATCAGTATACTAAGATATCACGTTGTCTCCTTGTTGCTGTTATTTTGTGGTTAATTTGTCAGAGATATTATTAATAAGATTTTTTTAATATAATGGTAGGGACCTTCCATTAATTACATATGCATTTTGCATACAGTGTTGACTTCTCAACCCATTTAATTTATTTAATCACCAACTGAAGGTACACATGTTTTTATTGTTTGTATTTCACCTTTCCTTTACTCACATAACTTGTGTTTTGATAAAACCAGAAACAAAGCATAGGTACATAACTAGTGCCTTAAGGGACCATAAACAATGCACAAATACATAACTTGTGTTCTGTGTGGGCCCACAGACAGAACATAGATACATAACTTGTGTTCTGTATGGGACCACAAACAAAACATAGATACATAACTTGTTCTTTATTGGACCACAAACAATGCATGAATACATAACTTGTGTTCTGTGTGGGAACACAAACAAAACATAGATACATAACTTGCTCTTTATTGGACCACAAACAATGCATGAACACATAACTTGTTTTTTACGGGACCTCAAACAATGCACATAGATATATAATGTGTTCTTTACGGGATCACAAGCACTGCATGGATGCATAACTTGTTCTTTGCTAGACCACAAACAAAGCATGGATGCATAACTTGTTCTTTACGAGATCAGAAACAAGACGTGGACACTTGACTTGTACTTTACGGGACTACAAACGATACTTAGATACATAATTTGTTCTTTACTAAACCACAAACAAAGCAAGGGTGCATAACGTGTTCTTTACTTGAACACAAACAATGCATAGATACATAACTTATTCTTTATAGGACCATCAACATTGTTTACATAAATTACTTGTTCTTTATAGGACCAGAAGTATACACCTGGAAAAAAGTTAAGCACCCCCAAATATTTTTCAGGACTGCTTATTGAAAATAAGGTTTAATTTTCATGATGTTGAGCAATGTTCATAATTTCAAACATAATTAAAAGGATGTGAGCGTTCAGGTGTGACATTTAAATCAGGCGCGTTTTTTTTCCCCACGTGCAACTTGCTTCCTTCTTCACGTCCAATATGCACTATTTTCTCGTGCATCAAATCCGTATTTAAGTCCCGAATTTCTGAATGCAAAATCATTTTAAGTAAGAATGGCAAGAAGACGGATATTAGAGGCGCAGAGATGGCAAATTATTGGCATGAATTCAGCTTGTATGTCCTACAGCTTGGCTATCATTACA